GCCCCACCATCTTTCCCCAAACAATTGGAGCGGGAATCAGTACTGGGTCTCTTTCTCGCCTGCCTCTTGAAATTGTTAGAGGGCGAGGCCCTCCGCCCGCCCGCTTCGCTGAGAAAGGTATTCTTTGTCAAACTTTCAGTCATGTAAACAACTCACCATCCCTAAGCAACAATGATGTTCTTGCTGTTTTCTGTCACAGACTTTATATCAGACCATTTAAATGTAAACTTTTTTTTTGCCCCCCCCCCCCCCCCTTTTTTTTCAGGTTTGCAGTTTGTAGGAATAACATTAAGGATGAGATTCAAACTGGCATACGTGCCGGAAACCACGTTTAACCGTAAAGCCAAAAAGATCTTGATACCCAGTCCTTACAAACCCGAGTGGATCAGTCACAGTTACGATGGTTTAGACATGTATGCAGAAAGGGAGAAAATCGGCCACCACAGCAGGCATGGGAGGCTAAGAACCAGGGAACCAGACCTCCAGGACGACCCAGTGTGCGCTGGAAAGACAACATCCGACAGTCCCTAACGGACAGAGGACTGGAATGGAACAAAGCCAGGAAGAAAACGGCTGGTAGAGACGTCTGGCGATCTCTCTGGCAAACCTCTACACCCCAAGGTAGAAGAGGAGCGACTAAGTAAGATTTAGAAATTGATTTTACTGCGTTATCTAGTTCCTCATAAAAAGAATCCTTTGCATCTTCCGCTGACATTAGACCCATCCTCTGGCAGACGGGTTTCCTGTAGGCCAGCAATATCTATGTCAAGTTTGTTGAGTTCGGCATCAATTATAGCCGTTTTTCTGACATCATTGATGTTTTCCAGGACAGTGAAAAACCCTGGACACATGGTCCTTACGTTCCATGAGCCGATTCGAAGCTTGGGGTTATGTTTCTTTTTATTGCATGGTGCACTGGTTTTACAGCCTGCAGTTCGGATTTAGTCCTAGCTAAAAGCACCCATTGAAGCATACAAGCTGTGGCGGATCAACACCTTATTGGCTGTAGGCTGCCCAGCTTGAGGCAGGTGGTAGTTGATCAGTGACATTCAAAGATGTCTCCCACCGTCAGAGGCAACCCGTGGCGCCCCTGTCTACGTCAACTGACAAGAACTTATAACCCGTAACTGCTGCCTCTCGATTTGTTTCCGAGACCGATTAAGGCCAGGGATGAAGTTCCTCCTCTCCATAGCACAAAGCCTGAGCAGTATTGTAGAGGCCATATGGTGCCCATGCATAATGATCCCACCCTCAACCTGCCTTGTTTTCTCCAAAAGAAAGGTAAAATCAGCACGTCATGAAGGAGGCAGGTTGCAGAAGCTGCTGGATCAAAAGAGCAGTGCTCTATCTGTCCGCCTGTCAGAGCTTCCCTCCTAGAGGGAAGGGCAAAGGGCCTGGTCTGCCCTGCCATAAGTTTTCAGGCTTCATTTCCTCTTCCTAGGATAAGGCTAGTATCCTCCCATATAGAGTGATACAACAGCAGAAAGGACCGATAAATGACAGATAGGGTGAGACAGGATAGACATATAGTGATACAACGGCAGAAAGGACACAGATAAATGACAGATAGGTTGGGACAGGTTAGACATATAGACTGATACAACGGCAGAAAGGACACAGATAAATGACAGATAGGGTGAGACAGGATAGACATATAGAGTGATACAACGGCAGAAAGAACACAGATAAATGACAGATAGGGTGAGACAGGTTAGACATATAGACTGATACAAAGGCAGAAAGGACACAGATAAATGACAGATAGGGTGAGACAGGATAGACATATAGAGTGATACAACGGCAGAAAGAACACAGATAAATGACAGATAGAGTGAGACAGAATAGACATATAGACTGATACAAAGGCAGAAAGGACACAGATAAATGACAGATAGGGTGAGACAGGATAGACATATAGATTGATACAACGGCAGAAAGGACACAGATAAATGACAGATAGGGTGAGACAGAATAGACATATAGACTGATACAACGGCAGAAAGGACACAGATAAATGACAGATAGGGTGAGACAGGATAGACATATAGAGTGATACAACGGCAGAAAGAACACAGATAAATGACAGATAGGGTGAGACAGGATAGACATATAGACTGATACAAAGGCAGAAAGGACACAGATAAATGACAGATAGGGTGGGACAGGATAGACATATAGACTGATACAACGGCAGAAAGGACACAGATAAATGACAGATAGGGTGAGACAGAATAGACATATAGAGTGATACAACGGCAGAAAGGACACAGATAAATGACAGATAGGGTGAATCAGGATAGACATATAGAGTGATACAACGGCAGAAAGGACACAGATAAATGACAGATAGGGTGAATCAGGATAGACATATAGAGTGATACAAAGGCAGAAAGGACACAGATAAATGACAGATAGGGTGAGACAGAATAGACATATAGACTGATACAACGGCAGAAAGGACACAGATAAATGACAGATAGGGTGAGACAGAATAGACATATAGAGTGATACAACGGCAGAAAGGACACAGATAAATGACAGATAGGGTGAGACAGGATAGAGAGTGATACAACGGCAGAAAGGACACAGATAAATGACAGATAGGGTGAGACAGGATAGTGATACAACGGCAGAAAGGAAACAGATAATTGACAGACAGGGTGAGACAGGATAGACATATAGAGTGATACAAAGGCAGAAAGGACACAGATAAATGACAGAAAGGGTGAATCAGGATAGACATATAGAGTGATACAACGGCAGAAAGGACACAGATAAATGACAGACAGGGTGAGACAGGATAGACATATAGAGTGATACAACGGCAGAAAGGACACAGATAAATGACAGATAGGGTGAATCAGGATAGACATATAGAGTGATACGAAGGCAGAAAGGACACAGATAAATGACAGAAAGGGTGAATCAGGATAGACATATAGAGTGATACAACGGCAGAAAGGACACAGATAAATGACAGATAGGGTGAATCAGGATAGACATATAGAGTGATACAACGGCAGAAAGGACACAGATAAATGACAGATAGGGTGAGACAGGATAGACATATAGACTGATACAACGGCAGAAAGGACACAGATAAATGACAGAAAGGGTGAATCAGGATAGACATATAGAGTGATACAACGGCAGAAAGGACACAGATAAATGACAGATAGAGTGAGACGAGTGATACAACGGCAGAATGGACACAGATAAATGACAGATAGGGTGAGACAGGATAGAGAGTGATGCAACGGCAGAAAGGACACAGATAAATGACAGATAGAGTGAGACGAGTGATACAACGGCAGAATGGACACAGATAAATGACAGATAGGGTGAGACAGGATAGAGAGTGATGCAACGGCAGAAAGGACACAGGTAAATGACAGTTAGGGTGATGAGACAGATTAACAGTGTGGTGAGAGACAGTCAAGTAGATAGAGAGGAGAGAAAGAATGCCCCCCCCCCCCCCTTAATTTTAGTCAGGAAAATAAAACTTATGTTTGGCTTCTAAAAACCTGACAAATGTTTTTTGTCCCCTTTTTGTCATAATGGATCAAGACAATGAAGAATAATTCTTGCATCATTATCTGCTTCTGAAGCTCTGGTCATGTCTTATATGGGTGTTTATTATTGAAGCATCATTATCAGACTTCTACACAGCTCTCTTGTCCTCAGGAATATGCACATGTGCAATTGACTGCTTTTCTGTTGTTGTTTTTTTTAATGTTAATCCTCTTGTTCTTTTCCTCATGTCCCCCTTTTCCCATTTCATCTCTCTCTCTCTCTCTCTCTCTCTCTCTCTCTCTCTCTCTCTCTCTCTCTCTCTCTCTCTCTCTCTCTCTCTCTCTCTCTCCCATTTACTTTCTCATCCTTTCCACCCTCTATTTTCACTAAACTATATTGCTTCTAACAATTCTCCTTCTACTCTATCCTCTTCTTACCCCATCTCTTTTCTCCCACACTTGTCAGCATCTTGTCTGGCTTCATACCTCTCTTCCCTTCCTCTGTTGTGCTTCCCCTCTTCTCTCACATTCCACATGCAGAACTGCGAGTCTAGAAGGGCCAGAATATGTGATGTACTGTGCATGTACTAAAGCGTGACTAAGGAGTTGATTTGAGATTGACTGCTACTTACTATAGAACTTTAGCTGCCAAAAGTCACTTACACACAAGTCTTTGAAGGACATGTGACTGAGTGTTTATACTCCACTAGGAGTTGAAAGGGAGGAGGACACATCAGACTGACAGCCCCAATACCAGTACTGTCCTGGAAATTTAGTACACACACAAAATAATAAACTCACTGTATTCCTTGCTTGCTAACTTGGGAGTTTTTTCCCCAACTGTTTTTTCACAGGCTTATAGTCATAAATATATGGAGTAGAAATTGTTAATGTGTGTCCGAAACTTATGACTTATGTCATCCTCCGTACTGGAGACAGGGGGTAAATATTGCACTGAAAAGGTGAAAGATGAACACAAAAAGCACATACATAGCTAGGCCAAAGGGAATGCAGACAGTGAGCAAAGATTTCCTTGTTAACCAACAAGAGAGAAGGATTATTTAAACACAGGAATGAAACTGATCTAACAATGAAGTAAGCCAAATGTTTCTGGTGAACATTAAATGGGCTGAATTTGAGAGAAGTATAGAAATAAGAGAAATATCTGGACAATCTCTAGAGCCAACAGTTTTCAGAGAAAGAAGATGGTGATACTATTGGATGCATCCTTGGGAGAAGCAGATTGAGAATTACCAAAGAAAAAGGGAACAAATGGATTGAGGAGTGGAAGAATAGGCCTTAGGTGACATTTAAAAAGGCATGGTGGATATTTCTGTAGTGAGATCTCAGGTAATCTGAAACAAGTTATTGCATACAGAGAGAAAATGAGAGTGTGCAAACATAAACAATGACAGAACTGGTAAACTGTGTCCAAGTGTATCTCATATTTTAAAAAATACACACAAGCTCATTTCTACAGAGCACTCTTTATTTTACTATTTCTTTCAGAGCAAAATTATAAATTTCCTCATTGGCTTTCTTCAACTTGTTGGCCTTCTGTTTCAGTGACTCCACTTCCTCAGAACTCACTAGTGATTCATTCAAAGCCTAAAAGACAGATATTTTTTCAAAAGAAAATATTTACACTTGGCAGCCGCAGATCTCAAATACAAAAATTACACCATGTTAAACTTAGAGGACAAAATTCTTGTTCCTGTCTAACATACAACCATTTATGGATTCAAATGTTGCTTTTGCTTTATTTCAATACAGTACAGTTTAACTGAAATCTCAACCCATTCATAAATTCTAAAATTCTATAGTATTTAACCAATGCTGAAACCACCATGCAGTTGCAATGGAAAATATGGTATATTTTCTCTCTAACTCTGAGACAAACTGAATGTGGGTAATAGAAAAACACAAAACGTTACAATAAGATGTGTCCACCTGACAGTAAAAGTGGTCAGTTTTGTTGATTTATGGCTCGGACATTGTTTCTGACCAAGACTTTACATCCTTTTGTTATATTTCCATCTGCAGGAGTCTATTCTTCTTCAATGTTTACCCTCAAAAGGGCTGCTGGCACGCTGTGTTCTGGTTTACAGCCAGACTGTGATGTCTGTGCCTATTAGCCAAACATATCTAATTTAAACAAACTCTTAATTAGTCACTTTTTACTGTATGCTTATGTGGCAGTAGATTCTCCAGAATTGGGTCCAGGAACCAATACATGGATCTGTAGAGTATGATTTCTTGCCAAGGAGCTGCATGTATGTAAAGTCCCTGCATTAGCTTAAAGCTCCATTATAAAGGTCCTGGTATATTTATCGAAATATTATCCATATTCCGCTTAGTCCATATTTCGTATGGCACAGGGGGGCGACATCATTAGTCATGCATTGAAGTACACATGTTTAAAGTGAGATGCTGTTGTCATTCAGAGGTGGGGGGGGGGAGGGGTTCAAATACCAGTGTGGTCATTACTGCTTTCCATCGTTATAATATCTTTGTATCTTCAACCTTTATTACTCCATCCATCAACTTTTATTATCTTGTGATTTCTCTTGCTGTTTCATTTATCACAATGCTTCCTCAAAAACAACATTAGTAATGTTGTTGGTACTGACAACTTTCTTGCTCTCCCTAAAGTAATTAGCACTGCTAACTCTCTAATGTTTTAAAGTACAGAATATGTTTCCAAACTCCCCAAAGACAGGATGTTTTAATATCCACTTGGCACTATCTTATGGTCATCCCACTAGACAATTTCTATATCACAAAGAGGTCACAGTTTATTCTGCTGTTCCATTCTTATTGTTCTACTTCTTCTCCACCGTTCGTCGGAGTGGCATTAATGTTGTGACTGTTTATAGCAAAGCTGCAATATTTGTGCCTTTCTGTCGACACATCTGACTTCTTTAGGCATTTTTAAAATCTGGGTTGACCTTTCTAGGCATTTCATAGCCTCATATGTGTAGAGACCTGTCATCCCCCAATCCACAGGTGTTGACCCTAGAGGACCTATCTAGAGGATAGGCATTCCCTGCCACCCAAGGAGGCTTCCATAAATGCAGAGTTGACACATGGTGCTCTGGTACTGGGCTCACCCAAGGAATTATCAAGTCCTGTACATGACTGCTTAACCTCACATCTGTAAATAAAGCCTTCACACTCATTACAGGCTTTGTCTTTTATGGATCACCAGTGAACAGTCTGGAGACCTGAGACCAATTCCCTGCACAAATGGGCAATCATTTGAACCAAGGTTATCATACAGTACGACTTTCTGAGGAAAATCTGAACCAGAGCCTGTCATTTACTAGGGTACTCAGGCAGCAAGCTTCCTACATCTTCAGATTAGTTTTTCATGTACTGTGGTACCTTTGCCCGGGTGTGGGATTTCTGAGCACTGCATCATCCTACTCTTTCATCTTTGTCTGAGAAGGTTGAGCATACAGCCTAACACCCAGAGAGAAGTATATCATCCTCCTGATTTTCATTCCAGACCTACAGTTATGAGAACTGAGCAAAGCTGCAGCCAGTCTGAACCTCCAGGGACAGAAGCAAGCAAGGGGTACAAACCATACAAACCTCAGGTTTCTCTGTAACTGATGGCTCATCACTTGTTATTGAAGACATACCACACAATTTAGGCAGCTGTAACAAAAATGTATATACATGACTTCCTAGGTAAATAAAATCCTTATATTCAATGAGTGACTGCATTTAACTTCCTAAGTAAATAAAATCCTTATATTGCACTGAGTGACTGCATTTAACTCCCTAATCAAAGAAAATCCCATGACAAATGTGAGTAGTAGATTTTCATATATGCCATGACAAAACAGGAGGTACATTTACTAACTCACTGTGTCATAAACTTTTCTCCTGAAAGAATATGTTGAATTATTTTTCTGGTACCCCTTTTACCAGACTTGGTGGGTTCTGGATCTGAAGTGTTAGGGAGAAAAACTGCCACTGCTGGGGTCTGAAGTATCTCTGTCTTCCATGAGTAGTTGCCAGGTTGGAATGTTTAGTTGTGACCCTTCATGAGTGTACATGAATACAGCATGTTTCTGCTTTCCCTCTCTCCTAAGTATTTGTCTTTGGTGTATCACAAATATGCACAGCCCCACTGCCCATAACTACTATCTTAGTTAAAAGTATCTTAACGGGCCAAACTTTATCTTACCTAACTTAACATCAAATTATACAAACTACAACAGCAAAAACTATGTACGGTAATTGAAACACAAGTATTTTCTTTTCATTTTTTCTTCTTTCCCAGTCTTTTTCCAATGGTGTGGTGTTGGTAGTCATGTCTATCAAAAAGCTTCTGTCTCGTGTTAAATCTGACTAACATGTGACCTTTCATGTCAAATTGCACAGCATATTTTCTCTGTCTGCCTCTATTCTCCTCAGACTTTCCCACTGACATGATGTACTCCAGTGTTCTCTGTCTGCCTCTATTCTCCTCAGACTTTCCCACTGACATGATGTACTCCAGTGTTCTCTGTCTGCCTCTATTCTCCTCAGACTTTCCCACTGACATGATGTACTCCAGTGTTCTCTGTCTGCCTCTATTCTCCTCAGACTTTCCCACTGACATGATGTACTCCAGTGTTCTCTGTCTGCCTCTATTCTCCTCAGACTTTCCCACTGACATGATGTACTCTGTCTGCCTCTATTCTCTTCAGACTTTCCCACTGACATGATGTACTCCAGTGTTCTCTGTCTGCCTCTATTCTCCTCAGACTTTCCCACTGACATGATGTACTCCAGTGTTCTCTGTCTGCCTCTATTCTCCTCAGACTTTCCCACTGACATGATGTACTCCAGTGTTCTCTGTCTGCCTCTATTCTCCTCAGACTTTCCCACTGACATGATGTACTCCAGTGTTCTCTGTCTGCCTCTATTCTCCTCAGACTTTCCCACTGACATGATGTACTCCAGTTTTCTCCTTCTCATGACATGACCAAGGAATGTAGATGGTCTCCTTCTGATATGGACAACAAGTTCTCTTTGTGAGTGAAAATAAAATAGGTCAGCATTTGCTCCACATATTTCATCTCATCATCTCTTCTTCCATCCACCTCCCCAAAATGGGGGGATGGGGGGGAGGGGGCTGTCTGTTCTAATCTTCTTGCTGTAACTTTTCACCGAAGTTTTAATTGTAAAATTATCAAACATTCAGCACCTTTAAACTAAAATCTAGTTCCAAGTGGATTAGAACAGCAGTTTGCAGCAACAGTCACACAATAGTCACTGAAGTGTGATGTTAATAACAGGGACTGGATGTGTACCTTATAGCAGATTCTGTTGTCCAGGAAAATATCATCACATTTATTTTCTTCTGTGTTGTGCAGTTCACGTTTCAAATTTCCAATGAGCACTCGTGGCTTCTCTTCAGGGTTGATTAAAGCTTGTGGTGTAGCAAGCACTGCCAGATTACTCACTTTTTCTGTTGGAAAACAGAACAAAGAAACTGTAAGTTTCAACTAAATGTATGGTTACTCTGTACTACTGAAAACAGCAACTAACCAACTGTGAACATCATCAGATCTAATGATACTATTCTCTGCACGTGGAACATGGACGGTGCACCAGAGCCATCCAAAGAAACTGAATCCCTGTCACACAATCTGTCTCAAATACCTACAGAAAATAAATGACAGGATGTGTTTTAAAGCCTCCATAAGACTGGATGTTTCAATACCCTCTTGGCACAATCCTATCAACATACTTTTGTGCCATTGTACATCACACAGCACTCACAGAATATTCTATGCCATTCACATTCCTAGTCTTCTTCTTCATCTTTTGGCAGAGTGACATAATTGCACTGTGCATGTTTACAGTGCATAATTGCACTGTGCATATTCACAGCATAGCATCCCCGATCCACAACTGTGTCATTAGAGGACCCATCCCAGGCAGAGGATAGGCATTCACTGTCATCCAAGAAGGCTTCTATAAATTCAGAGCTGATATATGGCGCTCTGTATTTGGCTCACTTAAGAAATCATCAAATGCTGCACACAAGTGCTTAACCTCAAATCCGTATACTCAGTTTTCCACTTATTAAAAGCTGCACCCTTTAGGTATCCCCAGGAAGCAGTCTGCAGACCTGAGACTCTTAATTTCCTACACAAATGGGCAAGCTGCTTTTTCAGCATGTTAGACTTCTCTCTTTAACAACGGCACATTTCATGTAGAGGCCCCAGTGCATTTCTGCAGCATTTATGGGAAGCATGTATCAGGCATGGCTACCCTGTATGGTCATTACACTTTGTGTGGCAAATGGTAGTGGACTTTTCAAACTTGTATCATAAAGTTGGATCTTTAAGCAAGGGAGTAGGGCACTTGATGGAGGGATATTTTAATCTATGCAGAAATACAGTAGGAGTCTCAATTACCAGACATCTGAACTAAGGTTTGTCATACAGTACAACTTTCTGATGACAGACTGAACTTGAGCCCATCTTTTAGTAGGGTGCTTAGCCGGTGGACTTCATTCAAGTTCCATATTAGTTTTCATGTACATTTTTACCAATGTCAGAGGGTGGTCTGACGCATGTCAATGGATTTATGGACACTACATCTCTGGGAGCCACCAACAAGTTTTCCTGTCCAGCTCAGACATTTTATAATCTCCTCACATCAACCTCTCTCTTCTAAAACCATTGACATCAGTGGTTGTCCAGACATTCTATAATCTCCTCACATCCAACCTATCTCTCCTAAAGCCACAGATACCAGTGGTTGTCTAGACATTTTTAGAATCTTCTTACATCAACCTCTCTCTTCTAAAACCATTGACACCAGTGGTTGTCTATACATTTCTATAATCTTCTCACATCAACCTCTCTCTCCTAAAACCATAGATACCAGTGGTTGTCTAGACATTTCTATAATCTTCTCACATCAACCTCTCTCTTCTGAAACCATTGACACCAGTGGTTGTCTAGACATTTCTATAATCTTCTCACATCAACCTCTCTCTCTTAAAACCATCGATACCAGTGGTTGTCTAGACATTTCTATAATCTTCTCACATCCAACCTCTCCGCTCCCCTTGCCCCAATGTTCATCAGTCTCATCAGTCAACCATCTCCAAATGCATTCAACCCTTGCTATGGGTTCCCAGCAGCTCTCCAACCCTAACTGGCACACACTACAACTGAAACAACACTAGCTGGAACTGGAGCCACGTAACATGGCCTTAAAACCACGCAAACTGGAGCTCCAAATCCTGTTCAGGCAAATACAAGCTGGCACTAACCTTTCTCACAATCTCATTCACCATTTCCTTAGCTATGGAACTTTTAAACCACATAGGCAAACAAATATGTTCTCTAACTGCCTTTGTCTTCAGTGTGACTGTTCCTTACTCTGCCATTGATATCTACAACATATTTATCCTTTCACAGCTGACCTTCAATCTGACTTCTGATGTCACATTTGTCAAATCATCTATCTCTCCTTGCATGCTATCACTTGGTTTGGTTGTCTTGGTTTATACAAAGGATCAACATGATGGCACAAAGGTGGTAACCCATAAGTGCTCTGTTCTACTTGTATTTTAAGCCCGAGTCCAAAGAATCTAAGCACAGTGCACAAAATCTGTAGCACCCGCAAGGATTATGAAATACTTTGGGTACATTTTAAACTCCAAATTTTGCCCAGGCAGCGCCATTAGGCTACTATTTTAAATGTCCAACTGTCAAGAGATTTTTTTAACATGCCCAACAATACATATGGGTGTCTAATCTTACTACCCAGAGATTAGTAGAAGTCTATGTAAAAAATCCTAGCCTTCAACAGGGGCTGAACCAAGGACATCAGCACTCGAGGCGGACACCATGCCTTGAGACCACTTAGCTCCCATTACACTACTCAAGACCTATCTATATCTATTTCAAAGTCACCCCAGAGACAGGTTCCAAACTGGGAACCAGGCCAGCCTAGACAGGATCAATGTTTCCTTCAAAGTCAGAGTACAACATCCCTGTTTGGGTTCTAGGCCCCACTGTAGGGAAAACAAGAATAGACCCACTGTCTCGCCAACATGTCGCAAGAGTTGACCAACCCAGGACTTCCTTTAAAGTGGAAGTGCATCTGACCAAGAGGCAGGGAACCAACAATCTGCACACAAAAGTCAGATCTGCAAAATGGATGTGCATGCAACACTCAGACTCTGGAACAAGACCAAAGTCTAGAGCTGGATGAACAATCAGAACTTTCCACTGGAGTTTACAGCCAGTGAACTTGAAGAAGAAGAACAAGAGTACAACTGCTTGAGAGGTTAGGCCTGAACAGTCTGCAAAGCAGATATGCACACACAACAAGTCCAGAAGGGAACAACCATGACGTTCCACCTGAGAATACTGATGGTGAATGCGAAGAAGACAGTTTTTACTAATAGCAGTTAATAGTGGACAGTTCAGATCTCACTAAACATAAGCACACCGGTCATGTATCTTTGCATATACAGATTGTTTTATGTCTTGCAAGTGCAATGAATAGAACACACTGAATAGAAGAATAATTACCCGTAGAATGCCAAGGGCCATAACTCAAAAAATTAAGATGATCTTGACAGTTCAATCCTTTGTTAAAAGTTACCAAACTGTAACTAAGGCAATTTTAAAGAGACTTGGGGACTCTGTCGTTGGAGTAGCTAGATCTATTGGCTGTCACCTCCATGTGGTTGACACCTTGGTGGTCCTGGGAAGTGAAGTTCGACGGTACTGGTTTCATTCACCCAGATAAATAATAATATGAAAAAGTAGATAAATAATTGAACTACAATAAAAGATATCACATTCACAGAATTTGATAGAAGTTAATCTGCATTAGTACCATTCAGGGTGATTGTGAGTGGTGCCACAGAAGACATCATGCTCCAGATCTTCACAGTTTTGTCATCAGATGCTGTCACAAGTTTCGACTGGTCACGCATTAGAGCCATGTGTGTCACACGAGACCTGAAAAGTTGGACAAATATTAAACACCTGTAAAGATGATGATGATAATGATGACAATGACATGGCTTTAGAAGAATTATATACAACATAAAAGTATTCTGAGGTCTTACTAACCGAAAAGAAAAATAATACATCATCTGACAATCTGGCATTTGTTGAACTGTTTTTTTTTAAAGCCCCCCCCCCCCCCTCCTCACCCCACATGCACATACACATAAGGGCGTTTGAATAAGCAAATTCTACATGTGGGTATTGTGAGAACAGACCCACTGCCCCCTTAATGTTATAAATGCCACACAAACACACACAAAGTTGGGGCTTGTTAAACTGGATCTGTTTGGTTGAAGGCACAGATATCTCAGCTTAGCTGTAAATTATTTTAAAATGTGTCAAATTGCTTTTTAAAGGTGAACACAGAAGAAAAGGCAAACACCGTTGTTGTTATTGGCACTTTTTTGTCTGTGTAGAGGATAGTGTTATGAGGAGACCTGAGGTGATGGTGAATGTGCCTAATGAGACCCAAGCATGTAAGTCTTCCACAATCAGAGCATGGGATTTCAGGACTCCTGTTGCCATCATCTTAGATGCTCAGCTCTCATCCTTTCTGCAAGCATTTCTTCATTCTCATTCCCTCACCGTGATGGCAGTGGTGTGTCAACAACTGCACAGATTATAGAAGAAAGTAAGACAGGATACAGCAGCTTAGTCTGCTACTGACAAATGTTCTGCAAACTTGATTCTGAAAATGAATAACTTCACCTCATTTTTTTACATGTACAATGTTACTGAAATGTTGCAGGATGTGAACAGCCTGCTCCGCTGGTGTAGTATGTACTTCCCTTCTGCTGCTCTAATCCACCAAATTATTAAACATTTAATACACCAGCCATTCTCAGTACGTGGCGTCCATGGCTTAGGCGTTGCGATTCCGACTCGTAATTCCAACGATCAAAATTCACCGCTGGCTGCGTGAATTTTTATCATGGTATAGGTCGTTGCAGGTCGACCCAGCCTAAAATGGGTACCAGGATGTATGTCTTTGGGAAGTAAAGACTGTCAACGTAATGATGACCACATTACCCACCTAGTGCTGATTGGTCTGTGAAAATATTGGTGCTTTTCCCAAATGCCCGTTGTGCCTAAAAGGCGTGAAAAGGGCTCTTTACTTTACTTTTACATTCTCAGTACAGCCATCGCCGCATAAAGCAGAATTTAGATATCAAAACCAGAGTTCAGTGTGCAACAGGGTCTGGTGAAGTACAGCCATCGCCGCATAAAGTTGCAGCAGAATTTAGATATCAAAACCAGAGTTCAGTGTGCAACAGGGTCTGGTGAAGTACAGCCATCGCTGCATAAAGTTACAGCAAAATTTAGATATCACAACCAGAGTTCAGTGTGCAACAGGGTCTGGTGAAGTACAGCCATCGCTGCATAAAGTTACAGCAAAATTTAGATATCACAACCAGAGTTCAGTGTGCAACAGGGTCTGGTGAAGTACAGCCATCGACGCATAAAGTTACAGTAGAATTTAGATATCAAAACCAGAGTTCAGTGTGCAACAGGGTCTGGTGAAGTACAGCCATCGACGCATAAAGTTACAGTAGAATTTAGATATCAAAACAAGAGTTCAGTGTGCAACAGGGTCTGGTGAAGTACAGCCATCGCCACATAAAGTTACAGCAGAATTTAGGTATCACAACCAGAGTTCAGTGTGCAACAGGGTATGGTGAAGTACAGCCATCGCCGCATAAAGTTACAGTAGAATTTAGATATCACAACCAGAGTTCAGTGTGCAACAGGGTCTGGTGAAGTACAGCCATCGCCACATAAAGTTACAGCAGAATTTAGGTATCACAACCAGAGTTTGGTGTGCAATAGGCTCTGGTGAAGTAACAATTAACAGTAAAAAATAATGCTAGTTGTATGGTCTTCTTCAGCATTTTGGGCCTTTGAGGTTTACTGCTGCAATTATCACAAGCCTCCATTCATCTCTGCGAATGGCCTTTCCTCTTGGTTACTCCAAGTGTCCGGAGTCCACTTGTAGATTATTTCTCCACCTCCTTGATCTGCCTCTTGGTTTACTCAAAGTTAAATTTTTTGTGCAAACAATTTTTGTCTGTTATCCACTATTCTCACCATTTGCTGCAACCATCATGGTTAATTGGCAGAGATTAGACAGTAATTAGTGATGTTTCTATCTAGAAGTGAAACAAGATAAATCTAACACAAGCCCTAGAGAAAAGAAATGATTAAGATAACGCAGACAACTAAAAAGAACACTTTGTTAAGATAGATAACTAAGCCAATAGCCATGGCTCTGAGGGCATAAACTTACAAATGTGCTTTGAGACAAGTAAATCCACTGGTGTTCTCACTGGTATCAACATGAAGCAATCTCTCTGCTGCCTGCAATGAAAGCACACCAAGCATATACATTACAGTTTATATACAAACTTGTTACATGTCTCCAGCTACCAGTGCTGTTCTTCATGCTGCAGCTGATCTAGCAATGTAAACAAATACAACCACATCAATGGATTTCGTTTAATATGACAACTGACTGACTAGCTGGACAATTAAAATGCAGGGGTTTCATTCAGCAAGTGACCCAGTTCAAATTCTCAGTAAATTAGAGGACCCAAAAAAAAAACATTTTAGAGTTTGCGTGACTGAACTAGCCATGTTGCCAGGAATAGTTAAGACCCCACCCCTTTAATTATACTACCCTATACAGTTTTTAATACAGGCAGCAAGGACAGTGTATCTAACAGACTAGGCACAAAACATCAATAACTAACAACAAAATCAAAGGCTGATACAAATTACCTTGAAGGTCAAGATAAAAACAAAGAAAGTTACACAATGACAACTACACGCCTACTGCGAGCAGGTCCCACAGAGAAAGATACAGAAAGCACTTTTGACCTGTATATGTTCTTCTTCCTCTCAGCGTCCACCGGCTATAATATGTAGCTGAAAATTCTGGCTGTTTGTCCACTAGTGACTTTAATTTGGATCCAGAACTTGAGTTCAATATGCACATCCATTTTACTGATCTGGCTTATTTGTTTGCATGCAGATTGTTGGTTCTTTGCCTCTGAGAAGATTCACTCCGAGTTTAAAGCAAACAACTGTAATTAGTCACCTCTGACGGCATGCTTGACGAGAGCAGGCGGTAGATTCTTTGTTCGCTAAAATGCAACCATGGAACCCAAATGGGGAGTATTTTCATTTCAGAAACCTTAAGGTTTATCAGTGAAGTATTTTTATTACTGCTTTTAGAATATACTCCGAAGGTGTCAGTAATATTAAAACTCTGACTGTTTTGCCATCACAAAAAGCTTACAGTAGATCTCTTGCCGGCAAACACTTTCAAGTGTAGAATATATGCTGCAGCAATGTTTAAATATGGACAAGCATCTCAAACTATAGAATATATGCTGCAGCAATGTTTAAATACGGACAAGCATCCCAACTTATAGAATATATGCTGCAGCAATGTTTAAATACGGACAAGCATCCCAACTTATAGAATATATGCTGCAGCGATGTTAACATATGGACAAGCATCTCAAACTAAAGAATATATGCTGCAGTGATGTTAACATATGGACAAGCATCTCAAACTAAAGAATATATGCTGCAGTGATGTTTAAATACGGACAAGCATCTCAAACTATAGAATATATGCTGCAGTGATGTTGACATATGGACAAGCATCTCAAACTATAGAATATATGCTGCAGCAATGTTTAAATACGGACAAGAATCCCATGATGTTAACATGTGGACAAGCATCTCAAATTATAGAATATATGCTGCAGTGATGTTTAAATACGGACAAGCATCTCAAACTATAGAATATATGCTGCAGCGATGTTTAAATATGGACAAGCATCCCATGATGTTAACATATGGACAAGCATCTCAAACTATAAAATATATGCTGCAGTGATGTTTAAATACGGACAAGCATCCCATGATGTTAACATATGGACAAGCATCTCAAACTATAGAATATATGCTGCAGCGATGTTTAAATATGGACAAGCATCTCAAACTAAAGAATATATGCTGCAGCGATGTTTAAATATGGACAAGCATCTCAAACTATAGAATATATGCTGCAGCGCTGAACCAAAGACAGCTCAGGCTGGTATTTTTTACCATCAGATGTTACCCTTTACACAAAACTGGAAACAGAAGTTGATTACAAGTAAATACAGGGAAGAAGAAAACTTATTTCTCCTTTACTTAATTAGTTGTTTTGCTCTAGTCTGTCATTTTCTCTATTTTAATGAGGTACAGTTTACAACAAAAAAAAACTGATGAAAATAAGACAGACATAAAAGATGTTGAACTATTTTTAAAGACAAGCTTTAGACAATTCATTTATAAAATAAAAATTAAACAAAAAAGCTACAGAATACAAGTGACGTATAATTCAGAAATAAAAATTGATATAGCATTACCTGATAGTGAAGGTCAATGCAGTAAACATTCCCATTGATGTCTCCAGCATACAGGGTCAGTGAAGGGTGGTCCACCACAACAGAAGTGATGGGTGCCCCGAGTTCAAACATTTTTAGCTCTTCTTTAGACAGAAGATTCCATAGCTGAGGTGATCAATAAATATAATTACTCATTAAAATGTAATAATCATTAAAATTCACACAATAATAATAAAGAAAAACAAACTCATGCATGGCCTAAGCAGTGGATACAAATGCTAGATATAGACATCTATAGTAGTATACTCACATGCCATCCCAGTGGTCCTGAGTTCTTCTTGTGTCTGCCCTTAGAAGGAAAGGTGGCCAGTTATCTTGTGGTTTACAGCTAGGCTGCACTTTCTGGCATACAATTTTAGCAAACTCCCAACTGATCATCTTTTATAATATGCTTGTTAAGGGTCGGCAGGTTTTTCCCCAGTCCATATATAAAATAAGAGCCCTGGAACCTACAAGGGAAAGTCCTGAGTTTAAGCCCTCCTTGAGGTAGATAGGTGTCCTAACCACAGATTCAAGGTCAATGTTGCCATAAAAAATGGACACATGTATGTTGCCATAAAAAATGGACACGTATTTTCTTGCAAGTTAAAGGTGACTGCCCAGATACAAAGGCCATCATTATTTAGTGTGACTGGTCTAAACCCTAGGGTATAGCACTCACTACCTGGAAGCCTGAGGTCAATTTGGAGGGACAAAATAATCCACTTTTATAAGGATTTGAACTGAAGGCAAGTGAGCTTTTAACCACTAAGCTACTATGGCTTTGCTTATACCATTTATAAACAGCATAGCACAAGGATCATCCAAATGCAAACTATAATACCGTTACTATGAGAAATGCCATGTCTCCAAGACATCATGTCTTGTGTGTTAATCAGGTCTTCTGATCTGATCTGTTTGTGCTGCTAGATGTCACTGTTGTGCTGAGTTGTTTAGAAGCAATATCACAACACTCAGGACATGTCCTTGTACCATCTTCAGGAGCCAGCGCAGAGTTCCAATTCTGACAGAATAGTAGCAGTCTGACTGTTTGTCTCTCTTGCCTTTCCCATGAGTGTCAAGTGTCATTCAGAACTCCTGGTCACTCCTTGCTTTCAATTTGTTTCAGACTGTAATGTTTTATTTGTGCCTCCGCACTGATCATTCTCTCCTAAAGGGCAGTGATAGCCATTAGCTTGTCCTGCAACAATTCACTACCATCTTGTGCATAACCATCGTTGTTCAACAAAAGATCAACAGCTGAGCCAGGGCACACTCATCAGCTTGGTATGCTGTGATGTCGTGAAGTCTTAGGTTGTCAGTGACTCCAATTATCCATCTTCTTCTAGTTCTCTCTTCCTATTGCAGTTTTTATTTATTTTTTTTTTTTTGTATTTTTATATTGTACGTTCTCACTGCTGGCATCATTAGGTAAATTTGTGGGCCAACAATTCAGTCTTTGTTTCATAATTAATTTAACAATGAATATTGTTCCAATAGTAGTTCTCGTTTGGTTGTGTCCGCAGTCTTTCATAATCACTTCATTTCACAGGTGGTTAAATGTTTATCAATCATTTTAAACACTTTTTCACCTGTGACATAAGATGTCTGATAAAAGTCGCACTCATAAACAGAAAGTTTTATCTATGATGTTGCTGAAATCATTTCTTGTTATTTAACCTGATCATCTAGCTTCGTTTTGTTTTCTACTGTTTAACTTCTTTATTCATTTTACCAAAAAACCTACACACACACAAATTCACATCTAAATCAAATTTATTTTCTGCCTAGTTTGCTTAACAAATATAAATTCTAATGCACCTGCTTGAACATTTGTTTGGATAAAAATATATGACAGTGTTTGGAACACTAAGTGTAAATTAATTGTTTAACTCATTTGTTAAAAGCAACATTGTTTACAGGACAATGTAGATAACTGCAGAATGTAGATTACCCGAACTGTAAAATCCAGTGATGAAGATGCTACTTGGCCAGACAAAGTGATGTGTACATCGGTGATTTCTCCGCCATGACCTAGAAATGTGTTCACTGGGCTGTGACCTTCTAACTGTGTGGGGTCCAAGTAAAGCACACTGGCAGATACAACATTTAAAAATATACCAGTTAGTTTACATTATAATAACACTTTAGCAAAAAGTTGTTATAGTACGACAACACATTTCACAATTTGTACAGAATAAGCTTTTGGTACAATTCATTTAACAATTTAAATAGTATAACTTTTTACAACTTACAACACACTTAACTATATAAATGGTTAACACAGTGTACAGTATAACCTTTTACAAGGGGAAGTCAATAAGTAAGTCATAAATGGTTATTTTTAAAAAAAAATCAACTAAACAACGATAACAACTTGAAATCATTTATTTTTACCAAAACACTGTCCCTTTATTTTCTGACATAATTTCTACCAACACTGATGCACTCGTCCCATCGTTTCATCAGTCCACCTAAACCTACTGCATAGAACTGCGTGCTCTATGTTTTCTAAACCACATTTTCACTTCACATTCAACTTCTGCATCATTCGCAAAATTTCTTCCACAGAGTGTGGGTTTTCAGTAGACCATTATGTTGTATGCTGAGCTATATGAGCACCCTATTGCAGCTGCTACAGATTCAACTGTTACTTGCCTGTCACACTCTAATCATCTCCACCCGCTGCATGGAGGCATCTGTTCTAATCTTAACAGGAAGACCTGGTCTGACTTCATCAACAATTTTATCGCGTCCTTGAGAAAACTTTTTACCCAGCTATGCGCCACTTTATGGGTTAAACATTGTCAACATAAACAGGAAGCATTTCTATGTGAATGTCCTTTGTAGGTATAGCCCTTTTGCCCAAAAAGAATGCACAACAGCATGTTGTTCTTTAAAGGTACACTCTGTAAGTACACTCACCACTTAGTTTCTGTTTTGCGAATGCGCATGAAACACCTAACATCACCTAATGAATGTAGATATAAAGTTTGATGTTGCTGTCACCCACTGAGACTTTTAGAAACTACCAACTACATTTTGCTGCCAACCCATAATCATTTGTGACTTACTTATTGACTTTCCCTTGTACAATATACTTAACATTGTGTATAGTACAAGGGCTATTCCAAATCAACCTCAGAATGGCTGGTAAAACGTAACCGTTTGTCATAGTGACACTGTTCATTGCTTGCATCATTCAGCAGTCTTTTAGCTTACTTAATATTACCCTACAGTCGCATTTGTTCACTGGTTCATGAATGACAAACATAAAAACACTAGGAGATTGTTACTGTCATTCCCACAAGATATAAAATTCATAGCAGAAGGCCCCCCCCCCCCCCCCCCCCCAAATAAAAATACAAACAAAAATTTTGCAATAGAAAATTATGTTTATGTTGTGGAACAGGAAGGACATTTTGTTGACAGAATTTGACACCAGGGACCAAAATAAAGTTAGAGATTTATTGTGAAACATCAAGAGAAGTTTTACCGGTTGACACAAAACAGAGCATACAATGTTCACCAGTAGTGTCACCATCCTGCACGACAATGTGCAGCCCCATACTGCTGCTCATACTTGAGCAGTTTTAAGTGGGAAATTTTCAGCCATCCCCTACCCCCTTTTTTTTACCTGGACGGCATTAAGTGATTATTCTCTCTTCAGGAAGATAAAGGTCCAGTTGGCTACACAGGATTTGACACCACCAAGAGCTCATGGATGGTGTTAACAACTAAGTACCCTGACGGCACATTCCTTGACAATGGGTTACAAAAACACATGGTATTGTGAGACAAGTGCTGGAATTAAGGTGATGACCAAGTAGAAAAGTAATGCAGTGATGCAGGTGACTTTTGTATGTATTTAGATATTTTGTCAATTTGTGTTTAAAAAAATTACCAGCAAACTGGAGGTTGATTTTGGAACAGCCCTTATATAAATTTTTACAACACTTAATGCTGTCTATAGCATAATCTTTTACAACATACTGTATTGTATAATCTTTTACAACCCACTTAACACTATAGTATAACTTTCAACACTTAACACTGTGTATAGTATAACCTTTAACAACATACTCAACACTGTACAGTATAACTTTTCACAACACATTCAACACTATGTATAGTATAACCTTTTACAACACATTTAACACTGTGTATTTTATAACTTTTTACAACATACTCAACACTGTACAGTATAAATTTTCACAACACACTTACCATTGTAAATAGTATAACCTTTTACAACAAACAACACACTCAACATTGTAAATGGTATAGCACCATGTAGAGTACAAACATTTACAGCACTCAACACTATAATTAGGAGATGATATATGACAGAGAAGCCATGGTAGCGCAGTAGCTAGATGCTAGCTTGCCTGACTGAAAGTCTTTGGTTCAAATCATCACAAAGGTTAATTTGTTGTTCTTCAAGCAGAGTGTATAAAATGGCTACCGCAGAAAAAAGTCTGTCTGCTGGAAAGACGTACATTAAGCAAGAGTACTGGAGATGATCAGGTGTGAGACAGTGTCAAACTACTGAATATAAACATGCAAGGAACCTGATTGTGCATATACATGGCTGCCAGACACTATGTGCGCCGCAGACCTAAATCAGAACTAGACATTTATGGAAGGGAGGGGGAGGAAGAACTAAGTGATAGACATACAGCAGACATAGTGTCTTTGACTTAAAAGGTAGTGAATGTGTTTCATAATTTCACAATTCTAATTCTCAGTGGGTTAGGATTCAATTTCCATGGTAAACAGGTTTTTTTTTTTTTAATAAACAGACAGTTCTTGTGGATTCTGGACAGTGTTATGAGTCACACCATGAAAAAATTTAGGCCTCATCACCTAATATTACTAAAGATAGCAGTGGCTGTACTGCCAACTTTCATTGTCAGAGATCTAAGAAAATGTATTTGTGTACAGACAAAACTAGACATGGCTGACTGAGAATACTGAAACATGACAAATATGCTTCAACAAGAAAAATATAAGGACAGTTTGGTCAGAGAATGACATGGCAGCTGACATGTGTATGTAACAAAGCTGAGATACACAAAACATGTTCTTACTCCTGTAACTCCCACACAGCCACTGCTCCATCTCTGTACCCTGACACCAGGTGTTGGCCAGAGGCAGAAAACTTCAGACATGTCAGCTCCACACTACTGTAAGACAACACACTGAACAACTCTCCAGTGCTCACCTAAAACAGACAGAGGCAGTAGTTATCTTTCAATAGTTTTACTGTAAATTGTTTCATGTTTTATCAAAACTATACACAGCAGTTAGTTTATTTTCTTAATGATTTCTGCCAAAAATGATCTTGTTTTTTATTTAAGTGTCATCTGCCATTTCTTATAGGTCTGTTGTAAAACCTGCTGATAAGGGAAAGGTGGTAGTGGCCTAGAAAACAGATTTATATGTGCAGGAGGGGATTAAACACTAAGTGACACATCGTTTTACGAACCTCTTATACGAGATGACACAATGAAAAACAAAACATTTAAAAGCATCATCAACGAAGATCTTCTACCTGCCAAGGCCAGCCATCCGTTTGTTGAGGAAAGTTGTTTGGACAAGCTCACCTTCTATCTGCTTTCCAAAATACACCAACCTGAAAACGCTGACAGACCAATCGTGTCCGCCTGCGCCTGTCCCGCAGAACTCATTGCTGAGTTCCTTGATTGTATACTGCAGCCGCTGGTGGTTGGTCTCCCATTTTATATCAAGGACACCCACCATCCTATCTCTGTCTTTCAATCAATTTGGTTCACCTCTTTTTCCAGGTACAATATCTTCACCTTAGATGTTACTTCTCTCTTAACATCTATACATTCTTGATGGCTCCAGGCTTTGCAGTTCTTTCTAGATTGCAGTCAGTCCTACTGCAGCCAGTCAACCTTTGATACATCTGGCTGAGTTAGTGCTCACTCTCAACTCTTTCAAATTTAATGGCCACTACTTCAACCAAATCAACGGCGTCTTCATGGGCACCAAGATGGGACCCAGCTAGGACTACCTTTTCATGGGCTATCCAAAACAACAGATGGTTAATGACACCGCTAGGCTCCCCAAGCTCTACAAGAGGTATATCCATGACTGCATCAGTGTCTCCAATATGCTCCTGTCAAAACTGCAGAGCTTCATTGATGTTTTTCTCCAACATCCATCCTAGCATCTGAATCACTTCCAGCATTTTGCCATCATCTGTGCATTTTCTGGATCTCACTGACACCCTGGATTCTAAAGGCCTCAGCACTTTGGTGTACTAAAAGCCCACTGATTCCCATTCTTTTCTCCACATACATTCTCATCTCTCTTCCTGCGAGGACTCTATTCCTTTTTTTTCAGCTTCTTCGCCTCCATAGACTGTCAGGAAACCAAGGACTTCCATCATATTGTACTAGAAATGCTGGACTTTTCCGGCTTTGAGGTTACCTAAAAATGACCTATTTGCTGCCTTTCACCGACCACGGTCTATCAGTCGTGCTGAGGCCCTTGTTTCCAAGTCTAAACGTTACCACAATAGACCTATCCTCTCACTTACCTACCACCCTCACAACATTCGTAACAAAAACATTCTCCTCAGGCATCTCTCCAACATAAGGGTTGACCCTGCCACCAGCAGGATTTCCTATGAACTTCTTCTAGTGGCCTACCGACACGACTGTAACCTCAAGAATGTTCTGGCCTTACACCTACATCTGAGTCCCACTTAGGCACAGCCTTCTGCCTCAGACCTGTATGTAAGACTTGTCCACATGTGTTTCAGGGCAAAAGTTGGACAGGTTCAGACAAAATCTGTTGGTGCCCTGAAACCAGTACCATTACATTTTAATTCTCAGAATCACAAAGGTGGAGGTGATGACCATTAAATCTAGCCACTCCACCAACAGAGTCCACAGGTCTCTTGAGAATTGCTTTCTTCTTTACCTTGGGTACACATTTGTCCAGAGGACTGAACTGTCAACACAGGATCATCTAAAATCCCAGACCCTTGGTTGTTTTTTTTTGGGGGGGGGGGGGGGGGGGCTTTATTCCTGGGTCCTACGTGTCTTTTCATTCCACAGGCAAGACATCAATGTGGCTGCTTTGGGATGTGTCAGTTAAGTGATTTTGTGGATTTGTATGGTTTCTAAAGCTCATTTTATGTTTTTATATGGCAACTTGAAGTCTAATTTTATATCAGTCTTCATTCCTACTGACTTCAAGGTCTGGCATCATAACCCTTTAGAATAACTTATGCTTTCCCCATCTGGGATGCAATTTTTCGTTATTTGAAGCCACACCCTGGGTTTTGCAGGAAGCCCTAAACGTAGCCAGGCCATAAATATGACCTAACGGCTGAACAGGGTTTTTGGGACATCTCCACTGGTGATCCTCATCCGCATGGTGGTACTTTGTGTCACTGGGTGTTTATTGCTCTGTGTGATGTCTTGGTGGGGTACAACTCAAATACATACAAAACTGCATTGGGTGTATTGTAATGGGGGATATTTTCACCCAGATAAGGAAGGTTATTCTAGATACTCGTATTAAACGAGGTGTTCAAGATAGGTGAGGACCACGAGTTATCACGGGTAACACGTTGAAGCGACCACAGGTCGCCATGTAGAAGTAAAGGACCACCACGTGTTGCCACGTGAAACTAACCCGTGGTAGAGGATCAGACTTCATTCTGATCAAGTTAGTTCGTGTCGACTTGTTAGAGCGAAAGGACGGGAGACTGAGCGTAAGAATGTCAACGTGAGATTGTTTGTTGTGAAAGGAGAACCAGACGACTACGTGTGAAGCCAGGAGTCTGTGTAAAGTCCAGAAGATCAACCAGCTACATCGGTGCAGATTCTGGTCAGTGACTGCGTGAGGAACCTGCTTGTTGAAGTCTGCATGATGTGGTTTGCGAAAGCTGTTTCGTAGGACAACGACTGGATGCTGTTGTAATTTGCAATATGTCAATAAACTGATGTTTCGTAGGGCTAAGTCGGTGTCGGCTTGTACCAGTTATGTTAACGTAGAGTATGTGATGAGAACATTCACGACACACATATAAACACCCACTAGACAACGAGTGAGCTTATTGCATGTATTTTGTATTTTTTTATCGTCAGTACTATGGACGTAAAATCACGTTTTTCAATTTTCCTTACAGATTTCTATGGACTGCTTTCTCGGGGGACAAAGGACAATACACATTAGCTATATTTATATATAATTTACCCATTTACATTCGATAAATAACATAGTCAAGTGCATTTAGGTGTGTTTACTGCATTCTGCGTTATCTTGTTTTGTTTACTATGACAGCGTGGTCGGTGATCTGTGTATTTTGTGCCCTGATTATATATTTGTGGTTTTGTCTACACTTCATTAATACAAAATGGCAAGAAAAGTTGTTAAAGTTGATGAAGAATAAATGGAGTTTCTGTCGAATGATAGCGAAGAAGATGCTGAATTGTCTACTTTGGACAGTGAACAAGAAAATCTGACTAGGCCATCAACATTGACGTCTCAAACCGGTGTGGCCGAAAAAGCCATTCGCCTGTTCGACAGAATCAGAGAGCAGCCCTGGCTGTATTTCTGCTGCTGTAAATTCAAACAGTCCAATAATTGATTGTTTTCTCTACTTTTTTTTCATAGAATCACTGATGACTTTTAACGCAGATGAAATTAACAGGTTTTGCAAGAAAGATATTGAGAATACACCTGCCAATATAAGCTCTTGTCTTTCCTGATGGACAGACATTTTCTAGTGTGTGTGTTTTTTGTTGTGCGGATGTTTATTTAAAATTAATTCCAGTACCATTATTGTTCTGTGTGATTGACACAAACATCGTCTGTTGTGTACAGTAGTATAGAAGGTTTTTAATTTTAAATATACTACTGTACACAACAGACGATGTTTGTGTCAGTCTATCACACAGTACAATACTGGTTTTATTTTTGGTTGTTGTTAACGTACAATAGTCTAGTGTAACTGGTAATATGCCACCTTTTTTTCGGAAGGTCTTGTGTTCAAACAACCTCTGGACTTTTTTTTATTGTAATATTCGTTTTCGTTCTTGCCACTATCGGCAATGGGTGACTTAAGTATTACTTTTTTTTCATGAAATAAAATGGTGACTACAATTAATTATGATTAAAGTGGGAGCCGCAGTAGAATCATCAATCAAATTTTAGGCTAGGGACTGGGAACAGGTCTTCCAATTGATCAACCCTCCCCCCCCCCCTTCTCCAGTGAGGGGGCTGTAGCTCCATCAGTTAAGTTTGTCAACTCATCCATGGAGTTTCTATTAAACATACTGCAACAATGGAGAAAATGGTAAAAAGGATCATTTTCTTTCACTATCCCTAGCGAAACCGGACAATAAAATCTAGTTTCTGGTGGTAACATTCTGTAAAGACACATTTCTTGGCGTCGCCATCGTGCATTTGACTTGTCACTACTCAGATCAACCACAACCTCCTTATGGTGAATATTTCTAGGTGTACAAAATACAGCCGTCATCGCCAACACATCTTTTGTGTTTTGAGGATAGAAAATTACTGCGCACAATGCTTAGCACAGGGAAGACTGCCGAGAGTGTAGCGGCAAAAGAGTTTAATATGTTAGATTTGTGTTTATTTATTTCCAAGTGCCTGATAGCTAGACATCTTAATTCTGATGTGTTTATTATTTGGTGGCTTCTTGTTTATTCACAGTAATGCAATATTTTACTTGTTACGTGTTATTAACTAGGCCAGGAATTCGTATGTCTAACTGGAGCAGTGTTGTCAATTGTGCATGGTGTGATTTCAATATTTTTTGCTATGTATGGTGCTTCTTACCCAACAATATGCATGTCACGATTTTGAGGTATTTAATAGAGATGGTCACCATACTAAATACCTTATCTCCTCTCAATGGCCACACTGTGATGGTCCACAGCTGCCTGTATAAGATATGATAGTTAACCTCTGTATTTAAGACCACTTTCCGCCAGCCAACACCTATCCTAGTTCTCACCATCATGTACAGATCACTGCAAGTGCTTACCATTTGATTCATCTCAATCTTGATTAATTTTCTTTTCTTATGTGATTTTCCCAAAAAATGACATCATCAAAGATGTTGACTGTCTTGACCTCAAGTTGTGACCATTTTGAGAACTGGCCTCCTGCAATATTTTGTCTTATCTGAAGCTTACAGCACAACTGGGTATTTCCTTTTCCCTGCCAGATTGTGCCATTATGTATCAGACAGGACTCGTAGTCTACTCCTCCATTCTAGCTCTTCCTGTGCAATCAGTTCAATATCATGGATGAAATCCAGTCCAGCAACTTTAGTCTCTCTCAACAACGTTCGTCTTTTGGTTTCTTTTGGGGGTCCTCGCCTCCTTAATTCCTTTACTTAACATTCTAATGGCTGTTTGGTGATTCTCTCGGGTTTCTTCTCCGGATGTGAATAATGTACTGCCATACACATACTGTTGGCCACGCCAGACAATATACACAACACAATGGAGTATTTACAAGCATATCCTCAGCTGTGCAAGAGCTAGGCTTACTGTGTTTTTTGGGGGAAGTTTTCTCATTTATCTAAGAAAAGCCCCAAAACATGACAATGTGTATCACATGAGGCAAGAGAAGAAAATGGTAGCTCTATACACAAAATATAGTGTATTTATGATGTATTTCAAACATAAAACTTTATGGTAAAACTGCAAAATATGCCCAAAATGAAACATGCTGCAATCTTGTGTAACATAATGAAGTAAACCTGTAAATTCAAAACAATGTTATACTTGAAGAAAAATACAAACCAACCTGCCAAATATGGATTTTGTCTTCTATGCCTGCAGCGATGTATTTACTGTCTGGAGTTGCTGTCAAACATGATACCTTGCCACTACAGATCAGCTTACGGTGCTTCTGACCCTGGAAATACAACTTTATTAAGTAAAATATAACTGCACACGCTTAATTTGAAAACATCATTTATTCATCAGCTGAAAGATAAATGCTGTCCCCATATAAGCCTTCCAGGTCCTATGCTTGTCGAAGATAATAAATCTACACCAAGTTTCTTTTTTCTTTTTCACTATTTGTGTAGAATATTTTGCCATGTCTAACTCTTTGTTCACCTCTAGCGTATAACATACTGTTGTGTTTATACCAATACTTGTGAAGAACAAACAATGTTATTTTTAATCCTCAGAATCACACAAGTTGTACTTATGGTAAACACGCATGTGATGGTTCTGGTAAACACGCATGTGATGGTCATGGTAAACATGCATGTGATGGTTCTGGTAAACATGCATGTGATGGTTCTGGTAAACATGCATGTGATGGTTCTGGTAAACCCGCATGTGGTGGTTCTGGTAAACATGCATGTGATGGTCATGGTAAACATGCATGTGATGGTCCTGGTAAACATGCATGTGATGGTTCTGGTAAACACGCATGTGGTGGTTCTGGTAAACATGCATGTGGTGGTCCTGGTAAACATGCATGTGGTGGTTCTGGTAAACATGCATGTGGTGGTTCTGGTAAACATGCATGTGATGGTTCTGGTAAACATGCATGTGATGGTCATGGTAAACATGCATGTGATGGTCCTGGTAAACATGCATGTGATGGTCCTGGTAAACATGCATGTGGTGGTGCTGGTAAACATGCATGTGGTGGTGCTGGTAAACATGCATGTGGTGGTCCTGGTAAACATGCATGTGGTGGTCCTGGTAAACATGCATGTGGTGGTGCTGGTAAACATGCATGTGGTGGTGCTGGTAAACATGCATGTGGTGGTCCTGGTAAACATGCATGTGGTGGTTCTGGTAAACATGCATGTGGTGGTGCTGGTAAACATGCATGTGGTGGTGCTGGTAAACACACATGTGGTGGTCCTGGTAAACACACATGTGGTGGTGCTGGTAAACACAAATGTGGTGTTCCTGGTAAACATGCATGTGGTGGTCCTGGTAAACACAAATGTGGTGTTCCTGGTAAACACATATGTGGTGTTCCTGGTAAACACATATGTGGTTTTCCTGGTAAACACACATATTGTGGTCCTGGTAAACACACATGTTGTGGTCCTGGTAAACACAAATATGGTGTTTCTGGTAAACACACATATTGTGGTCCTGGTAAACACACATGTTGTGGTCCTGGTAAACACAAATATGGTGTTCCTGGTAAACACAAATATGGTGTTCCTGGTAAACACACATTTTGTGGTCCTGGTAAACATGTATGAGGTGGTCCTGGTAAACACACTTGTGATGGTCCTGGTAAACATGCATGTGGTGGTTCTGGTAAATTTCACACATATGACTCCTTCACTGTGCTATGGTATTATGTTCCTTGGTATTATAGTCCACACACTGCTCATAAGATAAAACTATAAAACTTAGAAACATTTGGCTTTGAACATGTGGAGGGGTTAGGTGACTTCGTCTTCTTCTGCATTTGAATTGAGCCATGTTGAACATTCACTCCTGTCAGGATAACAAACAGGGTGGTGCATATAAGGTCACCGCCTGTCCCCCACAGCTTCTCTTGTAGTGTGGCTCATTGGGCCAGATCCCCACTTTGTGCCGACAGTAGTTAGGACAATCCTTCATACATGTTCAGGAATTTATGTTAAGAGGTTAAAATTCTACGGCTAGTAAAAAAGGATGGAAGTAAATTAAATGTCCCCAGTAACAGTAACTTACCTGTCTCAGCATACTCCAGGCATGAATGATGGGTTTTGAGTGCGAGGAAGCCACCAAGCACTCTCCATTAAGAACACATAAAGATTTAGGAGCTGCTGAGCCATTTCGATAAGAGTGTAGTAAACTGCCTGTCTTAGCATCCCACACACCCACATTCCAGTTCTGGTCTTCAGCTCCACATGTTGATATCAACAGAACCTAACAAAATCAAGAAGAAAAAAGGCTCAGTCAAAAAAAAAGTAAGGTGCTAGTTAATGAGACTGATCCTGGTGACTGTGTGAGATGGTAAATCACTACTGCCTGCCTATGCTGATCAGCTAGCTAATGTTTACAAGAGCAAAAGTCCTTACAGAAATATCTTGGCCATATGTAAAAAATATTTGTAAATGTAGAAAAAGAGTGACGTCAACAATGGCGGCTGGCTGCACTGGACATGTGTATCAACTGTTGATTATGGAAAAATTGGGTCAATTAAGTAAGTGGTGAGACAGATAAGTGAAAAAGCCCTTGAATATAAGAGTGAGAAGCACCTATGTTTTTTGGATCTTGAAAAGGTATTTGACAAGGTACCCTGGAACAAGCTCTGGGACTGCTTGCCAGGGAAAAACATCCCAGCACCCCTGATCAGTGCAATACAGTTTTTATAAAAGCTGCAGAAATTAAGAATGGCAGACCAAAAGTCAAAAGAATTTAAGACCACCAGCGGTGTTAGACAAGGTGATATTCTCTCACCTGACCTCTTCATTCTTATGATGGAAGATTTAATAAAGACCTGTAATGAGAAGACAAAGTACTCTGTAGGGTACTGAAAGATGAGACCAATCTGTATATCAAAGCTGGCATTTGCAGACAATATGGCCCTGATAGCTAAATCAGAGACACACCTTCAGTCCAACTTACTTGTCTAGAAGGAAGATCTGGTGATCTCTGTGGCAAACTTTTACACCCCAAGTAGAAGAGGAGCGACTAAGTAAAGTAAAAAGTAAGTGGTGAGTGCTAAATCTCTTCCAAGGTGTGACTTGTACCATTATGATCTAGAAGTCACAAGGACAGTCTTCAAACTTGCTGCACAAACCAAATCTTGATAGATGAGGATTGTGAAATGTGCTTACTAACCTCCTAAGTAAAATAATATTATTAAAAAGATCAGCTCACAAAATACATTCCTATAAAACTTTATAGGAGCTCACCAGTTGTGACTTTTCATGCTCAATCTGTGTTTTAGTTTTCCTCTAGGGGTTGATTTTATTTTTAAAATTTAATACGTCTAAAGTACCTAACAGGTACTTTAGTCACATTTTCAGAATTATTTTTAAAATAATTATTCTGCCTTTCTAACCCCAATGGATTCCAGAGAAATTTGACTAAAAAGCTCAACAAATTGGGAAAGAGGAAAACGTGCACAAAACAACACAACGTAACGTTTAGGCCGGGCAGCCTTTTTCAAACACAAGTGAAATACACAAACGAGGAATGGAGAGTATGTAGATCTCTAAGGGGTGACGTGGGCGACGTTTTAAAAAATGGGATGCGGAATTAATGAAATAAAATAAAATAAACGATGGCTGAAAAATATAGTCACAATACTAGGAATAAAAGAAATGCAAGTGTTAATGATACATAACTGATACTGGTAAGAAATAGAATAAGGTAATAATATGAAATGAAATAAAGTAATTAACATTTAAAATGTGATAAGATTAGAACTTCTTCTTCTTCTTGGCGTTCGTCAGCTGTACACTCTGGCGTAAACTTCTGGTTGTTCGTCCACTTCAGTTTTACAGATCTGATTCAATTGAATGTAGACTGCTAGTTCCTTGCCTCTCAGGCAGATGCACTCCGACTTCAAAGGAAGCTCCCCAGTTAGTCGACTCTTACGACATGCTTTTGGGGAGGCAGTGGGTCTATTCTTGTTTTCCCCACAATAGGGCCCCGAAACCCACACGGGGGAAGATTAGAACTATTTAGATGAAGGTATGTTGGATATTGATACCTCTTGGACTAAGAATGCCAAGGCTGTGGATAAGGCGATTTTCCAAAGCGAGGCGGGTAGTATGATCGCCAGAGCAAGATTTTAATGATGTGACAGATATGTCATTTTTACCGCTGTGGTCAGGGCTATTAAAATGAAGAGGGATTGGTTTGAGTGTCTTCTTGTCGATATCGGAGAGGTGTTCCCGGAAACGATCAGCTGCTGTTTGTGAGTCCCAGCCATCTAGTTTAGCCCCCATCCGCGCCGCTATGCGCGGCACGGGGGATGCGGTCAGCGGTGAGGCATAGTCACAGAAATAGGTGCGCAGGTAACATACCCTGTTGGCTCTTCTTTTAATCGTTCCCCAAAATGGTGGCTTTAATATGATTGCGTTTGAAAGAGAGCTAAATTGGCCAATTTCTGGCCATAAAATATCCGAATGTGGGTCAGTTCTATTAAAAATATATATTGTGCCAGCTCCGAAATAACGACACAAATGCTGACAGGGTCCTAGCGATACGTTGCTTGCCGACCTGCTTCTACGAGTGTGCCTCACAGCCGAGTGTATCGCCCGCTATGCGCGGCGCGGATGGGGGCTAAACTAGATGGCTGGGACTCACGAGCAGCAGCTACCGCATCTCCTGCAACTTCCTCCAATTACTGTACTCGTGAGTCCTAGGCACCTAGCGCGGGGGATACGCTCGCCGATGAGTTTAATCGCGTTTGGCGCATGCCGACAAGTCTGACATCTACCGCTGCTAAATCCTCCAATCGGAAGAACACAGTATTGCTAATCTGCTTTTATCGCTTGTAATGTCTCGAAATTGGTCAACAGTCGCTAATATCGTCTGCAGAATTGCTCGAAATTTTTGTAAACAGTCGGTATTTAATTATTTATCGTCTGCTACTACTACCGTGTGCAAATGTTGATATTGATTGTCAAGTAATCCTAGTTTTGCCGCGATTTGTTCCTTGAGATAGTCCTATTTTAGATATACGCGAACACCGTCGTTTGGATATTTCATGGCCAGAATGTGGCATGCCGCCATTTTGGGGAATGATTCAAAGGAGTGCCAAGCATTTGTTTCGTTATACGGAGCCGGCATATGTTTAATATAACTGAGCCCCGTAAGGATATTTTATGGCAGCCATAATATCAGGTTGAAGATGGGAGGAGAGCCGAAAATAATCAACAAGCATGTAAGCATTGTAAAAATGCTGATAAAAAGTAAGTAAAAGCGATTTTTTTGTGTGTTTTTTTTTTCTTCGTTGTGCATCTACCAGCTGTCAGCTAACGAATAAGCCAGACTGTGTGGAAAGCATGTGCACGCAAAGTCGAGTTCTGGAACAAGGCTAGGCTAGACTAAATTATACTAAATAAAATTTAAGTCTTGAGAAATGTGACTGGGACGAAGAACTAAGAAAGTCAACAACTACAACAACGGGTACTTTGGCTTCAGACAGTGAGCGCTAGAAATGAATTAATCATTGACACACTGCAAGTGCAACCTTTAAAATGTACGTACCTGAAAATGTGTATACCTGTACAAAAATACAAATAATAATATTAACACAATTTAATATACCTCCTCAGTTCTTTTAAGACTATTCATCATGCTGGACGTCGCCATATTTCCAAGGGAGATCACTCACAAATAATCGGTTTAGAAGGAAACTGTAACTCCTCAATTTTCACTCTTTACTTGCTTCTATCCCAGAATACAAGGATACGATGTGCCGAGGATACCGTATTGCCATCGACATCACAGACTGGTATAGAAAACTCAATAACATAACCCAAAGAAATAGTTAAAATCACAACTTATACCTTAACATAGCAAAACAAATATAAAGCATACAGATAAAACTACTATGGAGAAAGAAATATATGTTATTGAGGAAAGATAGGAGGTTGTGGGAAAGTTGAAGGCCAAAGAGAATGTGGCTGCAAGAAGTGACGAATGATCTCCAGATGAATGTATCGGACGCGGGGCATCTTGCTTGTGATCGAGAAGTTTTCCGAACGGTCATTATGGGGCAAGGTTCTGCAAAGGATATGCTACTGACTGACCTGACGTGGGTCATCATTATCATCAATTTAACGGCAGAAGTGGAAATTGATGACGATGACTTGCTATAGACGTGGGGAGGAACAGTTTGCTGTCCAACAAACACTCGGTGGATGCCGCTGGCGATTGTTGATATCTAATGCCTTATATATTATCACGTATTGTCCGCGTGCAGAAAAGCCTTAGGTCAGGATAGGTACCCATGTTAGCGGCCGTTGTGGACCAAGCTAGGATGAGGGCCAATGCGAGGGCCAGTCCTACCGTCGTCGCCGTGCGCTTCGTTAAGGCTGGGCAGATTTATAATGGTAAATTCAACTAGGCCGCATACGCTCCATCGATGCTTGACTGTGCGACGGACTGGTTACTGGCAGTTGACCTGCCTGGTCACGAAAAGTACCCTGAGTTAATCAAGAAGACTGGCCTGCGACCCGACATAGTCCTACACTCTGCGGAGAAACGTCAGCTCATCCTGATCGAGCTAACCGTGCCGTATGAGTCGTGAATGGACGAAAGCCACATGTACAAGTTCAAGAAGTACAGTGACTTAGCGGCTGGTCTGAGGAGAGACGAAGCGTACACAGTAAGAATCTTCGCCGTCGAGGTAGGCGCAAGAGGTCTCGTTTCCACTTCAATGTACAATGTGATTAACAACTAGGCTTACGAGGGAATGAACTCAAACGAGCACTGAAACAACTGGGCGAGGCTGCAGAGAGGGCCTCGAGCTGGCTCTGGACACAACGGAACGTCGTGGGGGATGGGCCTCTGAGAGCTGGTCGGGGTGTCTAGTGGAAAAGAAAGTCTTATCCCTTAAAGTCCATCGTGTCCGAATTGTCTGCCAGTGTCCTTCTGCCATCTGCCAACAAAGTCTAACATGTGTCCGATAAATCAACCGTAAGCTTGCCACTTGGTCGTCCAGGTAAGCTTACTGCTCTAATTATGCTACCGCAACGACAATGTAAATACACTTCGTATCTCACAGTACCTTTTGCAAAGTCACCGATTTCCTCTTGTCCCTGTCCGAGAAGGTCCGGTTAAACGTGCAGCAGGAGAAAATTAAACCTGAGCTTCATGAACTCAGGTGGGCCCACCCTCTGAGATTGTCAAGGAGCTCGTGGGCCGAAACAATTGTCGACGAGAGATTACTTCTACTGATGATCGGTAGACTCCTGCCGTACATGCTCCCCTGTGAAGTTTTTTTTTTCTTTTTTTTTTTATCAGTCTATATTTTCCTAGATCACACTTGCTCTGTGAGATCTGTGCATGTGTAACGCCTTCGTTAGTGGCTGCATTCTAACGAGATAACCAAACCAACGTATCGCCATTTTCCCCCGTTTCTGAGGGGGGAGGACGGCGTATAGATTGCCTTCCCCATAACAAGCAGGTCGTAAGAATTTGTTAATTAGGCATATTGGCTTTAAGGTAATATTTATATTAATTGTGATTTTAATTAACATAAAAAGCATGCTGAGGAAGATCAGGACAGGCATGTTTCGTGCAGAGTGGCATGCCTCGCTGTGTAGGACACGGGTGAGGAGTATTGTCTGAATTTTTTCACCGGTATACGCCGGTGTGTTGGAAAATAAACAGGCGGGCAAACTGGTTGGCTCTGCAAAATTTGGTGGAATGCTGATGCATGATAATGCAGACGTGGTTAGTGTCTTGTGGGGGAGCGTGTACAGTTCGGAGGAGTAGATGGATCACCACAGTCTGGTGAGATTAATGCGGAGGGGGGGGGGGGTGACGGGAGGTTCTGGCAGATGCTCGAGGCTCAGAGAAAAGGCAAGACGGACGTTTAAAACAGAATGCTACTGGCACTATTAATATCGGAACTCTTCGCTGGCTGCTAAAGATGGGCACGGAGCGCTTATGGGAATGCCCCGAGTGCTGTGCTGTCGGTTCTTGAATCAAATCAAATCAAATCATTTATAATAAGACAGTTGACAGGAAGATCAATAGAGTATGATAAGACATACAAAGTTGCATTTATAGACCAGGAAAAGGCATTTGACAGAGTGAATAAGAATATGATGTGGAATTTTGCTTAAGAAGACATGGAATCACCAAACACCTAACTGAAGTGTGTAAGAGCTTATATAGGTTAGTTGCGTATCATTTACAGGACGTTGCAGAACCAACCACAACAGCCCCTGGTTGTTGTGTGGTTTTTCTAGGCAAACTTACGTCCAGTAGTTTGCCTTCGCTTCTGGACGGTCGGTTTTCTTGATACTATTGTCGAAACCAACGCAAGGCGCATGGCCCGCAGCTGGGATCGAACCTGGCATTACGAAGCGTTCGCATCGACTTAGTCACAGAGCCGACAAGAGCTTAATACATTAAGTAAAAGTTGCATATGAACAAAAGCAGGTACATCGCAACCTTTTGAAGTAAATTCGGGAGTCAGAAAAGGATGTGTGTTGTCTCCCCTGCTTATTATTACACACATCGACAATTTTTGCAGCGAATCAGAAAGTAAAGAAAAGAATGGTTACAGATGGCCAAGAATTAATAGCTGCTGAAACAGTCAGAAAAAGTTTACAGAATCAAATTAACAAAGTTAATACTAAGTGTGAAAAAAAATAATATGACGATAAACGTCAATAAGAAGGAAGAAATAGTAATAGGCCAACAAGAAGAAACCATATCAATTAAAGTAAAAAAAAAAAAAAATACAGAAATAAAACAAACGTGCGAATTTAAATATCTAGGGTCATTTTTCACCTCAGATGGAAGAGCGGATAGCAAAATTACAATATGACGTGTGAAAGCAAATCATGTTGTGGATCAATTAATATTGCTTTGGACGCAAAGAAAGATACCTCTGTCAACCAAAGCAAATCTCAAAAGACGTTTTTTTTTTTTTTTTTTTTTGGCTGACGTTGTGCTACCAGTGCCAAACATGCACCCTTACTACAACTAATGATCGTAGCAACATAGATGAGATGTCTTTGTAGAGCTGCCGGTATGACAAAAAAAGAGATAAAATCAGGATTGAAGAACTTAGAAGAAACCAGTCACACAATTCATTAAAGAACAACAAATGAAATTATTTGGCCACCTGACATTAATGCCTTGGTACCAACTGCCACAGGGAAGATGGGCACATGATATAAGTGACTCCTTGAGTGTGAAAGTGCATGAGGTGGGAGAGCTGGTGAGAGACCGAGTTTCTTTCAGGCAGACCGTGATGAGAGCGACGTTCTGCAAAGAATCTGCTACATGATGATGACTGTAATCTATACGTGTTCTGGTGGCTTGTGTTTTTCTCTCCGTGGGGGTTTGTTCCGGGATAGTTTTAAAACTGTAAATCACCATTGTAGTCGGGTCATTGATTTGTCTGCAAAATGGTTTGGCCTTACTGGAATTGCTGATAAGCATCATCGTTACAATGCATTGCTGTTCTTCGTAGTTATTCGCTACAAAGTAACGGTTTCCTTTTATCTCCCCTATGTTCCTTCGCGTTTTTCAGAAAACCCACAAATAAAATTACTAACGCTCTAAAAGAATGTGGATTAAACAAATTTGTCACCTAGTCTTTGAACAATGTATATAGAGGGGAAAAACGTTTGACTAAATGGTAGCCTGTCTCTGGATCATTAGTTTGACTGCGGCTGCCCTATATAGATGTCAGCAGTCTTTCGTCAGGCTCATGGAGCTCCGAATCCTGCATTATACATCTCATAAGGATGTGCCGTTTCGTCAGTGATTTCAATGCATACACAAGTATTATATCGGCAATAGTGACAGAGTGTAAACTGGGTGAATTATGACGCTTGCACCTGCTACGTACAGAGTATAGATTCAACTGCAAACAGCTATAGTAAATATGGTGTGAGCGAACTGGTTTAAGATATAGCAGCAGTGTTGTGGATTCGCTAAATAAGAGAACTGTTGGTGACGATGTACAGTTTAGAAAAAAAAAAGGTCGACCAGGTTCAACCGGCTGCTAGCAGCGAAGCTGTCAGCAGCATTCGATTATATTTATGGCCTGGTGTATTTGTGCCAAGCGTATTGGATGAGATTAGGTTATGTGTGCCAGGCTGATGGCAAAATGTCTCTTATCGGATAAATAGTCCATTCCTACGTGTCCGGGTCCCACTGCGTTCCAGTTATCTTTAATTTCCTCCTGGGTTTGCTTGCTGTGCATTGATTGTGATAGGTATACGTGTTGTAATCTTCTGTCCGGCTGAGTCCCAATATTTGTTTTTTCGTCAGTCCTGCCTGATATGTGGCTCTGAATCCGTTCCACTCTATTATTGATCTTTGCTGCAGTAAGCCGTACCTCGTCAGAAACCAAGCTGTCGCAAATCACTGCTCCGCTACTCCCACTTATTGTTTTAACATTTTGAGTATTTAAATTGCCAAAATACTGATCGGTTTTTGGTTTCTGATCTTATCCGAAATTGTAAAAATCATTTCGCGTTTGATCATAGCGAAATTATAGATGTCTCCCTGAAATAGAATGCAAATTAGGTAAATAATAGTGCTGTGTGTGGATAGAATGGTTGGTGAGACCTAAATATGATTTTAGATACTATGTATGAGTGTTATGTCTAATTTACGAG